TGTATTAAAAAGGCATGCCTAATTTACGACATAAAATATTTGGTATATTTTCTTTTTACAAACGATTTGAATAATTAAGTGATTTTCCATAAACTTAGTGATGCATCTGATTTAAATACAACTTCTCAATATTTGGCCATCAACAATGTAATAATTAAAAAAAAAAGAAACAAGAAGATCTCAAATGAATCGGAAGCAGCCTTCATATTCTTGTTAGAACCAGTTTCAGTTTCCTCCTTTTGCTTCTTCTGGATTGACTTATCAGCTATAGCATCGCGCGTGAAAGTTTTTTTGTTACAGGCCCCGTGCATTCAACAAATCAACAGCGTAAATTATATCGTGGTTTTACTTTCACAATAGTTTAATAATTTTTCCATCCTGTGGTGTATACTAAATAAACAATTTCGTATCAGTATACGTTTAAGAAACTCCACTGTCTTTACTACAGTACTATAAGTGAAACTAACTCCCAAGTTCTTGTTCAGCATCCTATAAATTTTACTCTCACTCAAGAGGTCAATATACTTACGGTGTTTGAACTTGAAAAAGTATTACAACGCATTTGCACAACACGTTTCGTTTTCATCCAGACAATGGAACGTTATTTACCTAATGATGTAATATATATTTGGTTGTAAAACACCTATTACTTACACCACGCAAAAACTCTTCCTGTGTATCTTTTATATTAATATTTCTTGTTTCTAAATAATTTATAACAAATATGTAGTTTTTACTAATAGTCTTTACATCTTCTTCAGTAAATGTTTTAAAGTTTATAAATTTAATGAAAAATATTATTAATCCTATCAAACTATCAAACTAACTAAAAAAGTGATGACGTCTCATCTGTTTTAGATCCTCTGTCTCCTTCTGAAAATTCGAAATTCATTTAAATACATAGGTCTTGCCTAATATTTACTTACGAAAGACTAAGACAAGCATCAAGGTTAAAAATGTAATAAATTATTTTGTATGCAGATGCTAAATTCGTACAGTAACAGAATAATATTCATTTAAAAGTGCGTGTAGCCTACAAAAAAGTAATTATAATTGATTGTATTAACCTCTATATTTGATAAAACATGCGTTTATAATACAAATGTGTTAGATGCAAAGTCCTTTTTTGTGCAATTCCCAATCCGATAGTTCCAAGGAGAACCGCTTCAATGTAGGCCATGTACTAAAGAGTTTTAATAAATTTCGAAATACGACCAATTCTACCATCAAAAACAATGCCGTCGACCATATTTTCATTTGATTTTCTTTTAACAATCTTTAACTTTAAAACAGAAAAAAGAAATTGATTTTTAATTTTTGTCTGTAACACCAAAAATTATTATGTTATATTCACTTCGCAACTTCGTTGTAAAACAGTTGAATATTTGAAATATTTACGGTAAAAGTATTAGAACGCGTCCCAAGAAGCAAGTCTCACGAAAAACGGGAAACAAGGTGATCCTGTCGGAGCCAGGTTCGCTAGGAATCCTGAACAAGTCCGTTGCTCCTTCATGGTGCCAGTATTAAGGTCTAATTTAAAACCAGCACTTATATAACGAAAGCAAGCAATCTGATTTAATAAATAAAACTATGGCATTATTGTTACGCAAATATATTAACAAACCTAACCAATTTCAACACAACACGACACAGTATTGCAGTCTACAAATAATAATTAACAGAATGATCCAGTTATGGTATAATTAGAGATCGATGACGGACATAACAGGACGAGGTCAGCTCCTGTACCCAATTTTTGTGTTCAGGGGCTTTCAAAAATTATCATTCTTAATTAATAAGCAAAATTCCTTCATTAAGGGTTGCTTTCTAATCGAGTTACTAGTTTTCTTTTTTGTTTTATATACTTATGTCTATTTGTAATTCGTGAATGAATGGTCATATAAGTAAAGGTGGAAATGCAGATTAAATGTGGGAGTATGCAGTTAGTTCCTTTTCGTAAAAAAATCATTATTGCAATTATTTGAAACCGGTTGTCGTAGAATTACTACCAACACGGTACCATGAAACGTGGGAACACAGGACGATTAAGTCACTCACTCTCACTGGGAGTCGGTGTAACGTCGCGTCGTGCCGGTGCATAGATTTACGTGGTTCATAGGATTTATCAATGGATCGGTAAAGTTGTTTGGGAAAAAGATTGTTTCAAGGATTTCGTTTTCCAGATATGCCGACCGATAACGAAGTTAAATCCGAATTAGATCTAGGAGAGCCACCCATAGAACTCCTTGAATATGCCAGGAGAGAACTCGGAGAAGATCCTGATACAAGGGTACAAGTTTTGGCAGAATTTCGTGACATGATTTATGGTAAGGTTTTGTTGAAAATCTCTCTAAAGTTTTCTTTAAACTTCATGAGTAAGTATCTTAAATACTGTAACATATACTAACGAAAAAGGAAAACCTGATTTGCGAGAAAAGAGGGACGCACCATGGTAAATTGGGATAATCCCTTTTTTTCTCACAAATCAAATATTTCCAAATGTTGCCGTACCTAAGATTTACTTGTTTTATTATTTACCAAATACTCTATTTTGTTAAGATGGTTTATGTTTCAAACAAGAAATGCTAATATTTTAAAAACAAATTTTACCAAGCTGTTAATACTTCTAACTATTTTTTCAAAAACAATAAAATTTGTTAGTAATGCCCAATAATTATTTTGCCACACTAAAGGGCTTTTCTAGTTGGAAGAATAACTCCATCAATTACGTAAGAGTATTATACAAATATTGTACATGTAGGGAAATGTCGGAAGTAATCAATATTCCAATGTATAAAAAATATACCTATAAATAAATATGAGTTTGTAATGAGGAACTCGTTATATGTTACAAGGTCCTGTGATGGACATTTTGCTATATATCTTATTACTATTTTTGTAGTATGTTTATATGTAGGGTGATGCCACTTATTATTTTCGCCTCTCCTCCCCTTTTCTTCGTTTTAATAAAATGAAAATTTATTGTTCTTTTTATAATGTACCGGCTAAATGGTTTATTTACCATGTAAATAACTAATATATATTATGAAAAATTAAGGAATAATTCTGTAAAAGTTAGCTTTAAATGAATATCTATTTTATAACATACAGGGAATAAAAGCATTGATGTGTGTAAAAAAGTAAGGGAAAGTTCATACGAACTTTTCTTTTGTGCTTCCTAACTGCTACAAAATTTCCATCTCCAGTTCGTTGATAAGCTAGTAAGTACACGTATCTCGAAAAGCATAAACGTTACAACTTTTTAAATAGAATTTTCTTGAAAGCCATTAGTTTTACGAAGAAACGTAACATAATGCTTTTATCAGCTGTTTCTTGAGCTGCAAACCTGATAACCACAATTTTTCGATAAACATTTAGGAGATTTTTGCGAAATCCCACTTTAAAGGCACTTGTACCGACGAAGGATTATATTCAGAATCACAAAAGGACGATTTATAGAAAACTCCAGCCTTCTAGGACCTTTCCTTTTTTTATCTTTATTCCCTGAACTATTATCTAAAACCCTCTTGTTCGTATTGACTATTGTTGTAAGAGACTTTTAAACACTATGTATCTTTTTCAGAAAGGGGAGAATGTATGCCACATAGAACTGACGATGCCTTCCTTTTAAGATTTTTGAGGGCAAGATATTTCGTTTTAGAAAGAGCCCATAGATTGGTACGTTTTAATATTGCCTAATTGCATTGAGCACGTATTACTTTAATGTGCTAATAAACTATTGCGAACGAACTTAAAATTCTCATGATTTCTAGAATTTATTACAGCCGTTTATTAGCTTTTACACTTTTTAAAGGAAATTTAAAGTTATGACAGTAGTTTTCTTTTAACTACGTAACTGGTAAGTGGTAAGAAAGTGAAAATAAAATAACAGGTTACTGCTTCATTTTCAAAAATTGCTGTTCACTTTGTAGTTTTGTTATTGAAAGTTTATTCATTAAAAAGTTACTAGTTTAAATTTTATCCATAATGTATTCTTTTGTTTTTAGTTTGTAAATTATTATAATTTTAAAGAAAATAATCCTGAAATATTCGAAGGCGTCAATTTAATGAAACTGCAGGAATTGGGAACTACAAATATTATAACCGTCCCACCGTACAGGGAACAGACTGGTAGAAGAATCCTGCTTTACAGAATGGGTAAGAAATAATGTCGTACCAACAGCAAAGGTGATTGTAAAATATATTTTTCAAAACAAATGACGCTTTTAAAACCTATAAACATAAAAACCTCGCTACTAATACATACAATGGTTTCGAAATCAACAAACAAATTAGAAAAAGCCATTTTGATATTTTAAAGACGTAGAAAATTGCAAAAGAGAAAACACCGTCTATTACGCGAACCTAGAAGAACTAAGTTACGAATAATCCTGTGCTAAATTTTGTTCTATAAAAATGTGATAATTATACAATGCCTAGTATGTACATTTTTGATAATATTTATAAAACATTCTTAGTCTTTCACACTTTTTAGGGTTCCGTGCGTTCGAATGAAAAACGGAACCCTTATAGGATCACTTGTGTGTCTGTCTGTC